TACTGACCAGCCCACTCGCCTACCCCACAAAGACCCCCAAAACAAACCCTCAATTATTGCAGTGCTTTATCCGTAAACTCTGAATACTTCTTTCTGCTTGAAAATGAACAGCAAAAGTTTGGCATTTACTTGCTGTCTCCCCTTAGTAAAAATAAAAATGATATTTTAGAACTCCTTCTAATCCCTATGATTCATATGTCAGACTCCCTACATTCATCATTTCAAGCAAGTTTTTTTATCCATTTCCAGGCCTAATGGTGAACCATGTTCCAAGCAAATTGCCTTCTTTTTATTCCGAACACTCTAATCAGTGTTAGTAAAGAATGCACATGACAACCGACATGCAATTATTATTGTTGACTGGCAAGATGTCTATATAAACTATCTTCTTCCCTTCTCCAAAACATTTTAAAACCATGGAGACAACAACAGCAAGCCCTTCCTTTGTTCATCAAAATGCATAAAGACACAGAAAAAGCCAACTCTCCTGCCTATTTTTTTCCTTTGGAGCCTTTAAAGTTTCAAATCAAAGCTACTGCACTACTGCAGTCTAGTCAGCCATGAACCATTGTTTTAAACATGTGCCTTTGAAAACTGAGTGCCCATGACTGTGGTCATCAGCATTAATTATAGAAAGTGTCTTAGATCCATAGACAGGGATAACTAAAATTTCGGCATTAAACAGTCAAATTTCCCAAGACCCATATAGGAAACTGTTTCAGTTTCATCTTCAAGCCCAGGTTTAGATGCCCAGACATGTAACTATGCTTAAAGCTACTGAGAAAACTGACTCAATCCCTCCTCCTTCAAGAAACTTCCAGTTCACCTGATGTATAATCAGTTCAGTTCAGAGATAGTTCAGGCTCTGGTAGAGGATACACTTTTAGAACAATGCCATTTTTAAACCACAACCTCTGGTGTGATTTTCACACTCAAGATTATAATGTGAAAGGGCATAAGCAGACTGTAGTGTTCATAATAAAAATAGATTATTCTATTATCAAAGATGGGAAGCTATTACTCAAACAATAAAGGTTTACACCATAGTGTTGCTTATACGTTTAAGCAGTCGAGACTAAAGCGATACTACAATTTCCAGAAGAATTTCCATTAACAGTGACCAGTGTAGGATCTAAAATATAGTCTAGCAAATCTGGTTTCAGCCATGAATGTACTAGGGTACATATGTATATTAATCAGTTTTCTGGAAAGCTATCCATGCAAAGTCATCTATTTGTTGCATCCAGTCTGAGACTACTTGCACGTAAGATTGTGGGTGGCTCAGCTTGAGGTGAAACATCACTACAAAGACCATCTGCTACAACACATTGTACATTCTCTCTGTTCAAAGACCTAATTGTACTTACCCTCAAAAGCACTAGCTGGATGAGGTAATTCAGTGAGACTCTATAAAGTCGGGTCTTTCACAAAAACCATTTTTGGCTGAAATGTTAATAGGCATACGGTATACTGCTACAATGGCACCAGAAGGCAGTGAGTTAGTATCAGGATGAGGCAGGATAGAATTATGCTGAAAAAGCCATGTGTAGCAGTTCTTTGAGTCAAATAATAAAAAAAAATTGAAAAAGTAAAAAAAAAAAAGCTCAGCATGGAGACTGTAAATATCTGTTCTGCAATAGTGAATGATGCAGATCTTGGTGTAAAATAAGCTTTGAGTGCAATGAAACCATTAACTCATCAGACCCAACAAGCTACAGTACAGAATAATTCCAGGGTGTTTGATATTTACTCTTGCTTGTCTGGACATACTAAAATATACCACAGATGTTCACTGATGAGCACAACAGGTTGCAGGTGTGCAGGCAGCACAAGTAAAAGTCAGAGTAGTCAGCTTCCAATGCTGTACTTCCACTGATTCATTTATGCTGAATCCCATTTGGAATTAGATAAAGATGCATTTTTCCCTCTACAATAATTGTTTATTTCTACGTATAATAAGCCCTTTCATTTCTGTTAAAGAATTTGTAACATACCAAGTTGCTCACCACAGTTATTTGCATAAAAAGAGGTATAATTTTATATAGAGTACTTTATCGAAAGAACTCAGATGAGTATCATTAGCATCATTAATGCTAAACAGCTAGGAAAAATCTCTCAGCACTAAGGAATGAGGTATAAAACCAGGATAGGTACTAATGGCTTTGTTTTTACCAGCTTGTTTTCAGAGATTTTTATCTTGGCAGGTATTATATATTGGTGCTCTGTCAAGGACTGCATTTTTTTCACAATCCATTTCGACTGGAATGCTATTATCCAAATTAGTCTGCAATTCACCATCTACTGTGAATTTACACCACAGATAAATTTGCTGTATAAAGTCAATCTGATACACTCCTAAATGTGGATACAAATATGAATACTAATTAGCATACATCTACGGGTTTGTATTCTTTTTCATGAAATAGCTTGCAAACTCATTTAAAGCATTTTAATCAGGCAAAGACAAATAAATGATTTATTTTTGAAAGATTTCAAGAAAGAAATGAAACAAAAATGGCGTGTCTGAAATCAAGCAGCCTGCTCATAAAAAACAATATACAAATATTATCTACTTATTCATTTTCTAAGAATATATGAAATATAAAGCAATATAAGTCATCATTTTTTCAAAATTTCACAAGGTGAAATAATCTTTAACTTAGCATTATTTTTGTTTGTGTTTTTCTGAAGCACAACAATGTGTATGGCCTATAGAGAATTATCTGTATTTGAAATGTTTCTCTGTATGGATATTTTACTTGTAAAAACATTTAAGGAATGACTCAGTAAATGAGATAATACAGTCACATCATCCTATTTATTATAATCACAACATTCTATTAAAAGGTTAAATTCAGATAGCATTCCCCAAGCTGATTTTGCTAATGTAGTCATCCTTAAACAGATACGGTCAGTAATTCTGCATTCAAAATTGACTGTACTTTCAACTAGTTTTTCACTTGCTGTTTTTAGAAGCAATACTATGAAATAAAAGTAAACAAAACCAACTCTCTTGCTTTTATAACAACACAATTAAAATGCTAGCCCATGAGACACTATTTCTACAGACAATTTATGGACATCCTTAGTTTTTACAAGTTATTTAAAGGGCTCTTACAGGTATTTTATAAGTGCTGGCAAGAACAAGACTTAATTGTGGTAGACCTACCCATTTTGCTTCTCCCCACAAACAATTGCAAAATTCCAGTTTTTATGCGACATAATCCTGGACAGATGGCTGGGTATACTACATGCTTTTACACATAAACACACAGAGATATATATGAGAGCATATAGACATATATATGTATTTTTTCACTGGAGAGCATCTGCTCTTGATTTAATCATTTTCATATGGATGCTTTTATGGGTAATAACAGTAGTATAAGCTGTTATCACACACGTTTTCATTATTATCATCACAGTCCTTAGACATATACTCCCATGTTTCCTAGCAATCAATAGGTTTGAGTTCAATCTGAGATTCATTTGCTACATATACACAAAATCCTAGCACATTAAAAGAAACCCGCTACTCCCAACACAAAGGTTTGAAGGGTTCATATTCCATCCAGGATAGAGAACTGACAGGAAAGTAGATTAATTAAACTAAAATGACAGTTGTGCTGTTCTGGTGGGTTTTTTAGTCATGCGTAGCAAAAATTACTGCCCTGGTATTTGAGGGAGAAAATCTGCAAAGGAAAAAAAATTAACGCTCCTATGCTTTTTTCTTTCCCCCTGCAGTTGATAAAGTTAATGTCTCAATATAAAAGTTCTATCAGTGACCGCTATGTACTGCTGTGTATATATTCTAACACAACCTTTAAAAGTATGATGTCTCTTCCAGTAAAGAAACCAAACCAACAAACATTTTGGTAAATAATGTCTCCTGATATACAAGTAACCACAGTCTGTTTAATTTGAAAACCATAGCACTCAGGGTAAGGCAGAGAATAACAATTAATATGGATCATTTAATAGGATTATTAAATGATAATAGCTGTACTAAATTATGGGAAATAAATGTCCATTTTTCAGAGGCTAGTTTTTGTACAAGTAGTTTCTAAAATAATTAAGACATTTTGTTCACTCTTAAGAGTCTTTCCTTCTTTGTGCCAGAATTATTCACTAGCAAAAACATTCCAAAGGTTGAAAGTTAAAGTATGGAATTCTTCTTTCTGTTCTGGACAGTACAAACATATATATAATACTTCTATATAAGGATTACCTTTTGCATTACAAAAAATTGCAACTGTTACCAGAGTATGGAAAAAGTAGGTTCAACAATGGCATGTATTTCAAAGGTAGCACAAAAAGATACATATCCACACATATAAATAGATAAATTGATATAAAAGTATGTAAATAAATGAATAAATATACTACAGTAGTTAATTAATAAATGGACAGATGTTTGTGCATAGGACAATACTGACTTGGATTAGCTATAAAGTTTACAACTGTCTTGCAAATCACCACAGACATCTCAGTCTTAGCTTCCTGGGCACACACAGGCAGTCAGCTACAAAAGCAGATCATAAATGTAATAAATGTCTACAGCCATAATTCAGTGTCAGTTGCAGAGAGCAGTGATGATTTTCCTTTTGTTCTGCTGTTATGGCAGTTCTTTTCTTCACATACTGGCCTATAAACTAAACTCATACTGGCCATGAAAACAGGCTAAAAAACAGATCTGAAACACAGAAACTCTGCAATAAAAATATTGCCGTCTTTAGATCATTGACTTTTTGTAGTAAATTATGTATTCCCTTCACTTAATTTACAGGACAAAAATATCTCTGTGTAAACCCACTCCAATGTGAGAGAAACACCAAAAATTTCTATAACTGAAGTATTCGAAGGATAGTCAATGTCTCCTCCAGACCACATGACTATGAATTCCCCATAGCACTCAGGTAAAAGTGTTTTCCATGTGAGCATTCCCTTACATAAGGTACAGTGGAAACTTTGAATAGTATTAAATTCACTTTGACTCTTACCAGAAAAGACACTGGGGATCTTGGAAAGGAAACTTTTGACTGTACGAATAGGAATCCCATTTTTCTCATCTTGCATGCGGGCTATGACGTCTTCCATCTGAACACAGAGAGAAAAAAAAAAAAAAAAGGAAGAATAAAGAAATCCAGAATTATTTCCTAAAATAAATTCTTCAAGAAAACCTAGATCAGTCTCCTAAGACTTACAGGTCCACTCTTTCTATTTCTTTTTTAACATATAATTTACATTCTATATTTTTATTGATCAGGCTAAAAAACTTCATGTAACTTATTCGTGGACAACAGTAAAAAAATATATATGCTCAAAGTCTCTTGAGAAAGAAATACCAATGCAGAACAAATATTTAGTTAAAAGTGGTTAAAAGAAGTAGTTAAAAAACACTGCTGGATATAGAACTTCATATTTTGATTGTATTACTGGTATTGTGTGACATATAAAAGCAAAATAGACCCATACACCCTTCTAGGGGACCGATACAGCCAAAAAGGCTGTTCAAAACAAAAACAGCGCTGTTAAGTTCAAAGCAAAAATTCCTTCTTTTCTTTTGAGAAGAGGAAAAAAGATACAACATGATGCAATTTTGCATCCCTGGAGACAGCAGAGTGAGAAATGTAAGATTTTTTGTAGGTAATGGAGTGGGTATAAAAACGTTTAAAATCACTTTGCTGTATTTGTCTATATTTTTACATTAGCTCATTTTTTCCAACTCAATTTTTTAGGGTAATTTGCCCCATACATTTTATAAATTATGTCCAAGCCAAAGGTTCACTTTCATGTGAACTACAAACAGCAAGCCCCTTTACTGGAAAACATAAAGAATATTTAGATAGTCATTGGCTGACAATGCCAGTTTTTACTCTTGCACATTTTGTAATTAAGTTTACACATTAGATAACTTCTATCTTTCTTTCTTTCTTTGCATATCTAACTTCACAAAATATTCAGTGATATTGTGATAAAATGAATTACAACCATCCTTCCTTTTTCCTTAAATCACCAACGTACTCATACGATAAACTCTGTGTGACAGAGCATTTTGTATTATTTTATTAATCAGATCTTTAAAAAAAAATTCTCTCTCATCTCTGTCCCCCCAGGAGGTTCCCAAAGAATTCATTAACAGTTTGTGGCTGGGTTGTGTTGAGAAAAGAGACTAACAGACAAATTTCTATTATACACCTTTTTTCCACAGAAGTCATATGACCCAAATCAGCAAACAACAAACCAGCAAATACAGTTATGCGTTAATTGGCCCAATGGGGGAGTTGTATAGAGCCAGGAGAGGGAAAGGGAGCTGGGGTCACCAGTGGTGTACACAGGGAAAAACCAAAAACACATACCAAAAATGAAAGCAAAATCAATTAGTTTAACTGTTCATGAAAAACCTGTTTATACAAATAGTGTCTGGAGGTTCACATGCTCCATGTACTTATGGATCATACATTAACACCCCAAAGAACGCAAATGCAGTGACATAGTGCAAAATAGAAAGTACACACAAGTAGATATTGTTAGCAAGACGTGGAAGACTGAGTCGATTGCTCACAACTAAGGAATGTACAAATGTAACAGAAAAGATTGCAATGACTTTCATCTGACGTGGATTTTAGTTATTTGAATAGAAAAGGCTATTAATAATGTTCTGATGAAATTGTCAAGCAGACAAACTGTTGTCTATGAAATTTAATCTGTCCCTACGTTTATTATGTATGCAAGTGAAGGCTTGTTTCAACTCCTTCTAAATTCAGTTGGTAAACTACCCTACTAAGCCCTTAAATGAATAAAAAGTCACTCAAATTCAGTGAATATCTTTGCTTTAAACAATGAAGTAAATTATAACCATAGGTGCATGGTCTTCTATAGAAATTAACAGAAGTAAAATTTGATGATAAATTTCATACATGCAGCATAAGCTTATAAGAATATTGCTAGAACTGCAGAGTGAATAGTAATGTATGTTACATTGGGACAAAGTTTAGAAGACAATTCATACATAAGGCAACATAATAAAGGCATGCTTGCATTGTAACAAGGATTACTACAGATCTAGGACACAATCCTGGAATATAGTATTACAGTTACCTCTTTCTCAGGAACACACAAGAGTGCAAAGCATTCCTAGTGCTGTCAGTAATCAGTCTTTTGAGGGTATATGGAATAAAATGTTAAATGACATTCACATAAGCTTTCCTAAACTTGCTTCATGGACAAGATTTAATCTAAACTGTATAAAACCTAACTCTGATAGGGACTATAGTTCTGGGGGTGTTCTCTGGTTTTGATTAGTAAAGCAAGCTCTAGGATGTCTGCACTGCAAAACTACACTTTCCCCTGCATGTCTACCCCAGATTATTGTTCCATGTCAGGAGTGAACACCCTTGGTGCAAAAGGCAGCTCACAGTCTGGACAGCATCACTGTGAACTGCCTGGTTAATTCAGTGCACAAAGATTACTGCATAAGTGAGTGTGTAACCAAAATACTGATAAAATTGTTACGTATTTTAGTTTTCAGCATTGGGGTGATGGGATCGAATCAGCTAACTACAAAATGCAACCACAAAACCTGCTATGTTCTCTTCTGTACAGACCTACCCAAGTGAACACTAAGTTCAGGAACAATGAATATAGTATATCATGTCTATGGTCTCTGGTTTTAAGGTAATTATTAATGTAGCTAAAACTACAGACAATGTGCACCTGTCAAAAGAAGAAGATGGAAGGTAGTTTCGTATAGTGGGCCGAGAAAGCTGGTTAGGACTACCAAGACTGAGAGCCAAGCAGGTAAGGGGTAATTCCAGCAGGGGGAGATCGCGACCACCGACTCATTGACCACCTACCCAAATGATACCACCTACTCAAAAGAGAACAATAGAAGTGAACAACTGAGTCTGCGCAGTAATTTACATAGGAAGCAAGAGAATTTATACCAATCACTAGAGAGAATGTTACTGATTATGTATGAATGTAATGAATAGGTATATATTTGATTTATATAAGCTGACTGAAACAGGTGCTAGGTATGCACGTTAGGTGGAGCGATCCCCCGTGCATCTGGCGCCGTGAATAAAGAATGCCTGCCTTTTAACACTACATTGGTGTTACAAGGTTTATTCTTCCTGATTTTGGTGACAAGTGGGAATGTTCTGAAACAAGATACAACGCCACAGCAGACTCCTAATTATTTACAGTTGACCTGGGATTCTGTATGTTACCTGTTAGACTACAAAATTCTTATTTGTTTTGTTCCTTTTAATGCAAAAATCTAAAAGGCCACTTGTGTTTTGTGGTCATCTTAAATCTTAAACATAAGAACTCAAGAAAATTAAGGTAAAATTAAAAAAAAAGCACTTCAATTAAAGATTTAAAAACATCTAACCCAACATATGCAGCAGCACAGTTTAACTTTTAATATACATAGTCCCTATTTCTGTTTTGGCTGCTTTAAATTCAGCAAATATATAATCTCTCCCACTGAAAAACATCTCATTTAATTATATTTGGGAAGCAGCACTCAAGGCACTTCTCCGTCATTCATCAAACAATGACCTAAGACAATGAAAAGGGCAGAATAGTTTAATCAGAATGATGAAAGAAAATCTTCATGTGATTTTGCTCAAGAAGTCTAATCTGGGAAACACAAGATGCTGCCTGATAAAATAATTTTCCTTCCTGATATATCATTGTTTGCTTCTGAGTCACCTGACCCGACGCTCAAAAGTGAAATATAAACTACTTCACTTCAACTCAGAATTAGGCTTTCACAGTTCTTTTCTTATGTGCTTACCTGGCTAAGCCTGACTGGCTCTGATCATGCAATGGGATCTTTTTTAGCCCTAAGCCACAAAAAAACAACTACCTCTTAGAATCACAGAATCATAGAATCATAGAATAGAATCATAGAATCACTTTGGTTGGAAAAGACCTTTGAGATCATCGAGTCCAACCTTTAACCTAACCCTGCCATCCCACCACTAAACCATGACCCTAAGCACCTCATCTATCCTCCTTTTAAATACAGCCAGGGATGAGGAGTCAACCACCTCCCTGCGCAGTCCATTCCAGAGCCTGACAACCCTTTCGGTGAAGAAGTTTTTCCTAATGCCTAGCCTAAACCTGCCCTGGCACAGCTTCAAACCATTCCCCCTCGTCCTATCATC